TGACCCGGACTTCATCGCTGTCCAAGCACCAAGAAAGGAATACCGTATCGATTTCTTCACAACGGCTGCTATATGGGGCGCGGGCGGGATTCCCGCAGACGAACTATTATCCGACACAGGCAAACTTTCTGCCGCACTCACGCGCATTTATGGCATTGTCATCGCCCAGCGTATTAATGATAACTGGCACATACCGTTCGGGTCAGATACCACTACTACAGCACCAGATGGCGAAAATAACTCCCCCACAAACTTCCCGGCCAAACTAATCGGCCACGGCGACTACCTCGTCCAAAGCCGTCTCTCCACCCGTCTCCTCGACGCGTTCCTTCTGTGCATGGTGATCCTAGCCGTCACTTCCACATTGCTCATGAACACGAAGAACATCCTGCCCAAGAACCCATGCAGCATTGCAGCCGTCGCGAGCCTGCTGGCTGGATCTCGGGTAGTGGAGGACCCGCGGATCATTCCGCAGGGCGCAGAGTGGTGGGATGATAAGGAGTTGGTAAAGAGGGGGGTTTTCGTGGGCTGGAGGTTTTCGATGAGATGGTGGGTTAGGAGGAGGCAGGGGCCTGTGGCTGATGATGGAGGCGATGGTAACGGTGTGGAAAGGGAGAGAGAAAGATTCAACGGGGAGGGTGATGGCCTTTTGGAAGAAGAGAAGGTGTTTGGGATCGATGTGCACGATAGGGAGAGTGCCTAACTGACTGAACTTTTGCGCTGCTTTGGCTAGGAAATGGGCACACCTTTTACTTTTCATACCATTGAAGTCTTGTGATACTGTATGATTGTACCTGATCCCACTACTCTTGAGGAGGCACAATAGCCTTGCCCTGACTCTGATATACCTGTACAGAAACCCTTTGTCATCAGAGCAAGACTGCCCACTCAACCAGAGCACCATTGGATTATTGATCACTACCTCCAATCTGTTGTGCCCTCTTTGAGCCCTTTGATACCCTCAATACCCCAAAGAACCCAGGGAGGTTCCCAGTTACCAAAAACTCAACAACACAACAGCATGATAGCCTTGCCCTGACTCTGATATACCTGTATGGAAACCTTTTATCATCAGAGCAAGACTGCCCACTCAACTGAAGCACCATTGGATTATTGATCACTATCTCCAATCTGTTGTTGCCCTCTTTAAGCTCTTTGATACTCTCAAGATCCCAAAGGACCTAGAGAGGTTCCCTGTTGGAAACAGTCATACATAACATCTTGTTTCTGAGTTGCTTGCAGCTTCTTTAGTGATTGTAGATAGTATTTATCATTCTTTTCATCTTTATGAATAAAGTAATTATTGTTGTAGCAAAAGCTTTAATAAATTCTGGTGTGATCTGGATGTTCTGTGCATGAGATATTCTGTAGATCTGGTATTTCTTATTCTTCTTTCTTAGTGTTGCATCTGCAATACTGGCAATTTTTAATATCATAATTATAGTCTTTATGATATATGAAGTCTTCTGTAATCTGTATCTATCATTCAAACTCTTCTTGTTATCTTTAGTGAAGCTTATATGAATATCTGTAGATTGAGTATTAAGCATGTTTCTTGTGCTTTGAGTTCTGAATTTCATTCATTTTCTGTTTGTAGTAGTATTTGCAGTCAAGTAATTAAATTCCCCAATTATTACTTGATTTACTTCTTGTTCTCACATGTAATTCTTTACATAACTTTCATTTCTTGCTATTCAGCTTGTTTTGGCATTTTGATTTACCTTTCTGTTGCTGAAGTAGCTTCAGATAGACTTTTATAACTTGTTCTTTAAATATCTTTCTGAACTGCTGTTGAAGTTCTTCTTCAGTTCACTCTTTCTGAGTTATTGCTTGAAGATATTACTAGTGTGAGAATTGTATGTGTGGATCAGCATGACAATAAATCTCTAGAAGAAATATACATGGAAAAAGAGTACATGAGGTAAAAGGTCTGTATTCTGGCAACTATGTACAACTTGTAAACAAGATTGCCACTGACTCCCAGCAAGGGGTTCATACAGTGATAGCCTTTTATGTGTGCTTGTGAGCACATGACTTAGTGTCTCACAAGAATGCATGCAACTTCCAGCAGCTTGTGAGCTGAGCCCTCTGGCTCTCACAGGTGCTGTTTGTCTGTGTAAGGGGTTTGCAGCAAATCCTTACAACTAGACTTCAGAGTTTTCTTCATTTTCTTTGAAGATTATTCTGAATTTCTTATCTTTTTAATCTGCTTTCTTTGTTCTGTATTGCTTTGCTTGATATCCAGACTTAGTATAATAAAAGTATAATTTTTCTTTCTTTCTCCACTCTTTTTTCTTCTCATCAAGCATGTCAACTTTTATTGCATCCAGCTCTATGGGTGTGTGTTTATAAGAGTTTAGTTGTATATATTTGCTCCAGCCTCAACCTTCAGTATAGTTTAATAAACTGGATTGCTTTTATAATACCTTTTCTTGTCTTTTTATCTTTTATTTATAAAGTTAATTTCCAATTCTGACTGCTACTTTAATTATTTTCACTAGAATGTGTGATTATTTCTTTAATTATACTATTTTGTTTTTGATCTTATTAAATAGTTCTTGATAGAAAGTATCAGCTAAGACTTTATCATTTTAATCAGTGTTGATGCAGACTTGCTAAAATCTTATAGTATAGTCTTGTAATAGTATCTTTTGTTATATATGATGTAACTGCTGGGCTGCTGTATTTTATTTCTTAACTTCTCTAAAAGTGGTTTTCAATATCTGAATAAAGATATTATAATTGTTAATAATCTTAAGCATATTATTATCTTGATTAACTTTGTCTTTTTTGTAGTAATTCTACAGATAGATGTTGAACTAATTAAATACTACTTTATAAAGATATAATACTGTTATTATTATCTTGTTCTTATTATTACTGAGTTCATTGTCTTTCATATTTATATAAATGCACAGTTGTTTCAAGAAAGCTTATAATTTTTCTTGTTTACTCTTGAAAAGTTCTGATAAGTTAACTTTAGCTTTATCTTTCTTTTCTTATTGTCTGGTGAATGAGATGGCCAAGATCTAGATCTTAAGCTACTTGTTATAATGTTTTAATTCACAGTTCTGCTTTTCAAGCTTTTTGATAATCTGTTTGAGCTGCAAGATTCTATTCATAAGATCTTGAGTATTGATAACTGGTGTCTTAAATGCAGACATGGTTTCTATATTCTGTTAGATCTTGATATGAGATGGAGGTTGTATCTTTATACTTTAATATAATACAGAAAGTTCTTTCTTTGTATGCAATCTCTGAAATCTTAGATATATTCTCTTCTGAGTTAGAAGTCATTAATATATTATGTAAATAGAAATCTTTCTGAGTTTTTTAAGATTTTGAAAGATATTAAAGATCTTAAAGAGAGCAACAACAGATTGAGTAGTAATTAATAATCTAATAGTACTCTGATTAAGTAAACAGTCTTTTCTGATGACAAAGGATTTCTGTGCAGATATATCAAAGTCAGAGCAAGACTATTGTACCTTCTCAAGAGTAGTAGAATCAGATACAATTGCACAGTATTATAAGACTTCAATAATATAAAAAGAAATCAAGATATAAAAGTATCTGATTTAAAGATATCTGATAGATAGATAAGAAGATTGATTATAATGAATGTCTATTAAATCTCTGGTAATAAGTGTTCTTATATACATGATACTTCTAGTGATAATCCTGCTAAGCTGTTCTATCTATTCTACTGCAGTATGCTTGCTATGTTCTCTGATTAGTTCTATTGTGCTCAGTGTGATTGGTCAGCTTATCAGTTCTATTGCTGGTTACATAACTTCCTGTTCTAAAGTTTCTTCATAATGGTCTGTAACTCCACCTTGTTAGGTCTCATCCAATCATTCTGTATCCCTAGCTGCTATGCTGCAAGATTCATAACAACAAGCAAATAAATAAAGAAATAAGTATATGATAAAATACTGAACTTTTATAATAAAATAATTAATATTTTACAACAAAGAATGTCTACTACAACCAGTAATAATATATATATAAGATATTTATATAGACAAGTAGTAGAAATACAGAAGCTTGCATATTCAAAAATCTACAATACTTTATTAATAACAGAGAAGCTATAATAATAATATACAAAAACTACTTCAGTAGCTCTATATCTTAAAGTCTGAGATCTATGAAGAAAAAGATAGTGTTATAAATAAATCTAAATCAATAAAGTATCAGACAATATTAAATATTCAGAAATACTCATATGACCCCAACTCTGAATATATAAGAATCATATAATTCATATAGATTGTGGAAACCTTAGTGTTCACTCTTCTAGTTAAAGAACTCCTACATTCTATACATGACTCTCTCTCATCAGTTGCAGGCATCAGATCTACTTAGCTCTTTTGTACCCTAAATCCTGGGAAAACCCACATAACCTATGTCCGGTTCTCCTAACAATTCCACATGAAGGAGGCCTAACTAGAGAAGAAGCTCAGAATCTTATTCTTCCACCTGCTGAGCCTGTTGAACAGTCTGTTATTCAACCTCCCAATCTTGTAGCTCCTGAGCCTGCACCACACTCACAGGCTCCACCAAGATGCAGCAATTGTGGTTCTCACAGGCATAGAAGAACAAGATGCCCTAATCCTAGTGTAATTTAATTAGGCGTTGTTGAGCATATATATTTCGGGTTGGAATCTATTCAATTACTATATGGTGATTTTGGTGTCCCGCTTGCTTGGTTGTCCCGCTCAGTTGTGGAATACATTAGTGGATCTACGGTTTACAAATCCTCCCCTTTTCTCCTATGTACATACAGTGAGTCATGTGAGTGAAGGATTCTCTAACAGTTTGGCTCACCCTCTCAGGCCTGGAAACTAGATATCTAAAGCAGTCCAAGTCATTTCCATGAGCAATAGTCCATTAGTGAAGCTTTACAGTATTTCCATTGTTCTACATCATGTTGTTGGTGACTGGCCGCTGAATCAGAAATAAAGGATGTGAATATAAATTTCCTTTTCACCTGTACACTATTCTACCCTTAGCCGTTTATGTGAGGCAGGGAACCCATCTTCTGTGAAGTCATGCTCAAACTCTTCTTGGACTTTCAACGCCTTGTCAACATATTTCCTCCCAATTGGTGCGCCTTCACTAACAGCCATGGCATGAGCTGTCTGCATTAGGTTCTTAATCTCGCGGCCATTCAAAGCTTTCTCGCCCAACATATCCAGATACTGATCATCCATCCATGCCAGTGTTTCAGAGTCATTTGATAATGATGAGGCTTTCTTCGCAAAAGTCATCCAAAGATCGCGTCGTGAGGAAGGTGTTAAACCGTAATATTTTATTGACATATGAATCCGAGATTTGAATGCTGTATCGAAGCTACTGATGCGGTTTGTGGTGAGAAACATTATACCTCGGTAGTATTCGAGGATGCGGAGGAAAACTATGCAATGAAGACCCATTAGCTTTCTTTCTCTTTTTTCATTCTGGAACGACCTCAAGGCCCTGATGTTAGATACCTGAGACAAGACCGTTCCGCTTAAGGTCTCTTTGGCTCCGTTGTTCCAAGAAGACATCTGCTTCGTCAATAAGAACTATAGCATTCCAGGTCGTGGCCAAGTGAAGTGCAGCACATAGGTTGGCGTGCACAACCGTGCTTTCTGCACCTAACTCACCACTGCTGATGGTGTACAAAGGCCGCTTAGTATAATCCGCAACACTTTCTAAAACATAGTATTAGACCGGTTGAGACGCTTCCTCTGCTAGCTATCCTCCCATAACTTGAGATGGATGGTGTGAACTGCTCTCTTACCTGCTGTGAGGGTTTTCCCAGTACCCGGTGCACCGTGCAGCAGACAAATGAAGCCTCTTCCTTTTCCTACAATCACATCGTCGAAGGTTAACCTCGGGTCTGCGTGTGCTTTGACCAGTGCAAGGATCATTTCCTTTTGAGACGCTGGCAAAAGCAAGGACTCAAATGCCTCGGAATTGTATTTCACATCTTCGATTGCATCAACACGGAAATAGCACCACAATTTGTTAGCGAGGGAAAATCCAGGAACAAATGCTGAGCATATTAAGTATTCGTCGTCAGAAAGCCCCAGATGATGATCGAGCATTGGAAATTGTAGCTTTGTTTTTAGGGATGGTTTAGCAAGACCGAATGTACCGCTGTCAGTTATGATCCTGCTATTTATCTGAAGCAAATTTGTTAAGTGATGGCATAGGAGAGGGGGTAAATAGATAGGGCACTTACAAAACATCTTCCGTCTTCAAAAAGTCCTGTTTTCCCCGGTGAGAACAATTGTATAGCATTGCCTGTATATTGGCGATGGTTGACCCCCTGTAAGCCGACAAACTTCTTCCCTCTTGCAACCTGCGACTCCCGGATAGCTTCGCAATCTCGATGATATTCCAAAGGAAAAATCTCCAGGTCTTCAAGACGTTTGTAACCATTATATGGTTTGATTGTGGTCTGTATCATGCAGTATCCAAGATTTTGCCCATCCCGGTCTATGAATGATGCTGAAATCGACCATTCCGTATGGGTACAGTTAACATTAGGGCATGTCGTACACCTTTTCTTGTCCATGGACTTCAACATGAAACATTGAATGGGTGAATCAAAACACTGCCGATACAGGATATCACCGGGGCGGAATACCATCCACAGGTTGCAAAATTCTAGGCTATGTGAGCCTGGCGGGGCAGCCCTAAAGTCGGCATAGCTACGTATTTCCTTCCCTAGAGTTGAAATCATGTATTGAAGTAAGAAGCTTATATGCTCTCTCGCATTAGCATCCTCAAGAGATTTCCCATACTCCTGAAGCTCCTTGCGATAGTGGAAAATGCATTTCGGAAGGTCGCGGATCACAAGTTTATTAGCGTGTGGATTGATCCCGGGATAATCGATGAGGACTTTTTGAAGTGCAGCTTTCATGTGTGGCGACCTGATCTCTAGCTCTGTAACATCAAGTTCTTTATCGAAAGTGTAATATCGCGTGAGGATCAAAGCGGAATCATGGTCGCGCTCCAGTTCGTTAGTATCCAGTCCACGCTTCTGCTTGTTAACTTGGAGGAGTCTGCGTTGACCAGAAGCCACATAACGCGCTTCGTATGTCTTGAGCTCGCAAATCAGTCCTTGAGGTCGATTTCCAACATGGCTTGGTGGGATTGTCGCACTCAGCACATCGCAAAGCTGATTTGGCATGTTAGGCATTGGAGTGACGTATACCGGCCGATGTTAGAAGGCATACAAAAAGAAGAGCGTAGGGTTCAGTATGTCAATGAAAAGAGGCCACAAATAGATGCGGCCTAGGAAGCCCATTTTAGCATTATCGCAAGTGAGGGCCATCACAGGGCTTTATATACACTGGCAGTGGGGTAGGATTTAGGAATATTCTTCCTTAGTTTTCCACCTAGAGTCTGATTGAAGCTACCACTGGGAACTTTGCGTGCGGCACTCTTGTATGTGTGTCTGCGCACGTACGGAGTACAGTACAGGTATGCTTGCAGAAATCTAACTTGGTAAAGCAGTGGGAAGGCTGAAAGACGTTCCATCCATGGCTCCATTCATGTGGTTGCAATCCTGACTAGGTAGACTTTCGGCCGGTCACTAACTCGGTGCTGAGACCGTGGGTTTCAGATGATCCACCAATTATTAGGCTTTCCTCCTCGGCGGGCGTGTACGGAGTACTCCCCTTATCATCTGTGTTTCGCATTGCCGCAAAAGGGATGTAAGGTTGTTCGTGCCGAGATTCTCTCAACCAACGATCCAAAGCGGGAGGAAGCTGCTCCATGTTGTCACCATCACGATTTTCAGGATTGATGTCTTGCTGAATAGGTTTGGCGTCACCGTGCCGGTTGCGATCATTGCTCATTTCATGACTCTACGAAGTACCGCATAGCAAAATTAACCCATCTTGGACCTATCACATTAGCAGAGGGTAGTTATGCGAACCTTGACGTGTTCCATTCTATTCCCCATATCCCTGGCTTTCTAGGACGTGTGATTGGACGAGGTAAGTCCACAAAGCTTTGACAGGTATGTATTTCGGCCTGGCAACAGTTTTGCGACTCAGATGACTTCGAACTGGTAAACCAAGGGGGGCCTGCAAACCGATGTTGCCCCGGAATTTAAGTGGAGAGAATTGCAAGCTTTCTACCAGTACAAGGAGACAGTTATATACCCATAGCGGTCACCTTGCCAGATGCTCGACTCATTCGCGCAATGTATCTTGGGGAACTTTTGAGAATTTTTGCAAAGGCGTTGAAATACCGGTACGGCGCACATTAACAATTCTAAACCCGGCCGAAGGTTTTGTGGCCGCTCGATTGGACTTCTGGGAATTTCCAGGAACTTTTGCCCCTGACCTATCATTAAAGAAAATGTAAAAATTCGGAAGCGATCTTCGTGAGGCTGGCAGGCTTCGTGGTAGGCGTCTAACAGCTTAACGAGCTTTGTCAATACTCGCCGCCTCTTTTGACACGTAAAACGAGGACGTCGAAATGAACTTCTGCTCTTCTCACGCCTTTTGACAGAATGGCTGCCTAATCGAAGGTGATCTCGGCCATTACAGAATATATTTCTTCTCTTCCTATTTCATATGTCCTATCAGCTATCACCCTCAGTCTTTTGGTCAGGAGTTGCAATGGCTTCATACCCTGAACCCCAAGATACCAATGGCCTCCAGATGGATTTTGAGCCATACTGGTCCGGGAACTGGCTTGATGCCCCCATGGACGTATTGACAACAGATTTGGCCCCCCTTGGGTTTTCGGAGGATTCGGCTCGCCATTCCTTGCAAGCTCCACCCAGTACTAACTATGCCACATATGAGCCAGGCGATTTATCGGTCATGGGAAATACTCCCATGAACGAACTTGAAGCAATCTTCGCCGATCAACAATACCGCTTAGATGGAGATGCCGATGCGGCATCGCATGAGCACAGACTACCAATTCCTTTCGATGCGACCGAAGCCCCATTATCTGATTTACCGGCGGTCGCCAATGACGGCCTGGCCTCCAGCTCTCAGTTCATGAACGACCGTTTTGAATCGCCCAGCGAGGCGGCGTGGAATTCCCACAAGCCGCAGATAAAAGAGCTGTACATTGGAGAACTCAAGTCCCTTGAAGAAACTATGAAATACATGGCTGAAGTTCACAACTTTCGTCCATCGTAAGTTGCGGTCATTTGGAATAAGCAGAATTGATCTCAGCGTAAATGTGAGATAAAACTGACTTTTGACTTGGTCAGAAAGAAGATGTACAAGGAAAAGTTCAGAGAGTGGGGATGGTATAAGAATCTTCCAAAGGAAATGGCGTTATGGATGTTCCAGAAATACAAACAGCGAATGCGGGATATAGGACTAGATACGCAGTTTACGCTAGGAGAGCGGGTGTGGTCGTCAGGCCAAATATCAAAACGCGTTCAACGATCTGGCAATCCGCGACATGAGATAGTTACTCATGGTAGTCACAGTCCTTTTAGTTCTTGTTCCCTCATTATAGCAACCCTGCTAATAGTTCAGCGGACAGATATGACGACGCCAATTGGTATTACTTACTGCACTCCACATAGCACAGTATCGCCCCGCGACCGGACTCCAATTTCCTGTAGCGGAGCCGTATCCCGTCATGGTTCGATGAACCCACCATCGGACCTCCAGGATGCAAGACAAACTCCATTCGAGACGCCACAGACAACTCGAATGCACCCCCTTGCAACCCGATGGCAGAACCACACACGAACAGATATTGAAACGCTGCGTAGTTCAGGAGACGAACTTGCTCGCCAAGGCGAATACAGAGCCGCTGAAAGAAAATATCGAGACGCTTTGGCGGGACTAGAGAACTTGCTCCCACTAGCCCACGATGATACAAATGCCATGGCCTATCAACTTGCCGCGTTTTATGCCCAACAGTGTCGAATGCGAGATGCTGACAGCGTTCTCAGTAGAGTGGGTGAGCAACATATCAACCGTTGGGGGATGAATCACATCAAGACAATGACACATATCCAGCGCGTTGCCGATTTATATCACAGCTGGAATCGTGATAGAGATGCAGTTGCATTCCTGCAGCGAGCATTTGAGTGGTATGATTTTGTTGTTCAAAATCAAAATTCAGCCGCGGCCCGCACGTATAACTTTAACTTTATGCATAATGGTCATCCGACGGCGGGCACTAATATGGCCAATCCTCTGCGAATTCCGTCGGTAGAGCATGATGAGGAAACTGTGAGTAGTTTGCCGATGTCCAACCAAGACTCAGACTACTGTACTTCTACCGATGTTTTCAAAACCGAAGAAGGAGAAGCTCCGTCGATTCTTGACCTAATCGAACGATGTGAAAAATATCCACTTGAACTGGGCTCCGAGACGCTCCAGGCCCACCGGACAGTGATAGACTATTGCCGTGCGCAGAAGAATGAAGAAGGGCTCGCAGCAGCCCTTATACGATCAGAAGCTGCCTTCTGGAAAATATTCGAGCACGCGCACGAGCATATAACCATGTATGTCCTGCAGAGTGCAATCCAACTGGCAAAAGCCCACCTGATATCTGGCCGGCACGAAGTCGCAGAAGATTTATTCCTTAAAATCGAGTCCGAAGCTAGAGATATTCTGCGACGAGATCATCAAGCCATGATCCGCATTCTGGTTGACATTGGTATTATTTATCAGGACCAGAATAGCTGGACTGATGCAGGCCCCCGTTTCGAGCATGCCCTTGCTATTTCCCTCGTGGAGAATGGAATCGACAGCAAAGAGACAGAGATGCTCGAGGCGGCTCTCGATCGTAGGCACTTTGAATCTTCAAGTCTGAATTATTTTCAAATATCAATAGCTCTCGCCCATCGGTGAAAGTTCACGAACAGAAAATGTTTCAGTCGAAAATACCACAGTTGTCATCTCTACCAAACGTACGGTTCATCTTGATCACCTCTCTATTCCTACCCGCATCCCTCAAAGATTTCGTTTTCACAGAATAGTGTAACTCGTACTGAGCTGGTGGACCAGGCATCAGCGCTCCCTCCAGGAAAATACGCTCTGGGTATAAAAATGTAGTTGGTCCCGATTCAAAAACTTAATCTGTCGCATTTAGAAGCTATTAGCAGAAAATAGAACTTGTCTGATACTTGATGTATAGCTCCATATGTCGCAAGCAAATGTTGGACAATCACCATGAAGGCATTCTGGAGAGCAATATTCAACAGGTTAGCAACCATCTGGAATCACTGACTTGCCCACTTTCATTCCTAGGCAAAAATCTCCAAAAGAGGACTTTATGCATCAAAAAGGATGCGATTATGCGCAAGAGAAACAATAAAAGAGAAAAATAAAAAAGTAAGGCTTGGATCAAATGCATTAATGTCCCATTTCACACTGCTGCTGCTAACACCAGAGGTGACAATGAATATGCTGCTCTTAACTTTGCTGTAGAAAACAAATCTAGTGATGCAACCAGATAATTCACTACTACTGACATGAAAAACACAATTATACAGAATCTCATATACACTCTTCAATGCTATTAATCTCACTACAGTATGATTATTTCATGCTGTACAGCTAGAGTAGCAAGCTTTACTCATCAATTATTATTTTCTGGCCTTCTCACACTCTGTATTCTCAAGATAAGAATTGCTCTTTCCATCATCTCCATTATCTCTATCATCTTTATCAACCCCATCATCTCTGTTATCTCTGTCATTCTCATTGTCTCCATCAACATCACACTTCTTATTTGTAAGATTATGGATACACTTCAAGTCAATATTCTCAATATTAACATAACAAGCTTCTACTTTTTTTATCCACATCTGTTAGTACAATTCAACAAACTGAAGTTAACTTCATGTCAAAGTCAACTGTCTATTCTGTGGGCATCTTATCTGCTTTTTCCAGCAGTAAGATTATAGGTAGTTGTTACAAGATCTTCACATGAGGAGCTGGAGACTCTTTTATATAGTTTTATCATGGGAAGTGATTTGAGTGTGGCTAAAAAGGGCACCTTGTAAGAGACTATCCCAAAAAGAAGAGTGACAAAGATAGAATCAGTATAATAAAGTTATTCAAAAACAGTCTCCTTATCCTCTCCTATATTGTCCTGAGTATGCAAAGCCTAACTAAAAGAAGTGTTACCTGGTCAGCACCAATAAACCCTTATTACCAATCTCTAGTAATTGTTTGCAACTGACTGTAAAGCTAGTCCTAAAGATGTATGAGATATCTATAGAGATTGAGACTGTCTTGAATTATGAAAGTATCATTCTTGCAGAAGGAATTGCAAATATATTTTTTCAAATTGAAGCCTGTGACTTTCAGAGAAACTTGCAGCTATGGCAGCCTCTGACTATCACTAGTATGTTGTTGATATACACCTTACCTGTACTCTCTCAACATATTCACTGATTCACCTACTTTGATGAGGCACCCTATAGTTCCCTGCTCCAATGTAAGTATAGTTTATTAACTTTGTATTTTAAAGTAATATATTTATAATTTAAAGCTTTTAAAGATTTTAAATTCTTTATTGCTTGCTTAATTATAGATTTGTTGACTATTTTATTGTGATTGGAAAATTGAAGGTTGGACTTTAAAATTGCAGTTGTTGGGTCAAAAGTTGGATTGTAAAAGTTGTTGGTTGGAAACATTAGTCTCCACATCAGTTAAGGTAGTTCACCACTAAATGAGCCACACCACTAAACAAGCTAAATTTCACCAAATACTCCACGCAATGAATTTATTAAATATCTCAACAACCAGATCTTTATTATTAAATAGCTATTAAATATTAAATGAATGTATTTTTTAAAGCATAGAAATTAGTATAGTTAGAAAAATAAATAGGTGGACAGCCTAATATTATAGCCAGAGCAAGAGATACAGAGAGTAAATAGAAAAGAATTTAAAGAAATATCAACAGTAGATTTCTTGACTAGAAAGCCTAATGTCTTACTAGAAATACTTATAGAGCTCTTACTTTTTCTTTTAAAAGATTGTATAGACTCTCTGTAATGAGACTCTTTAGTAGAGAAGTTCTTCTGATAATACTTTGAAGCTGATGCTTAAAGCTCTGACTATTGATGTTTATTAATATATTTAACTGTCTGTTTTTTCTTCTCTGCTAGTTATAAAGTCTTCTTCTTCTTATAAGCAATATATTATATCTCTTTATATCTAGTATGTTTAATTTTTTCAATCTCTTGTTACTTTCAGATCTTTTTATAAGTATTCTTCTGTTTAATCTATCTTTTTTCAATATTTCTAGTAGTCTGCTTCTTTTAAAGCTTCTGTTAAAGTTTTGTTTCTTGTATTTAAGTAATTTTATCAGCTTTTTCAGTCTCTATTTTATTCAGGCACTTATATGTTTTAAGAACTTTTATTGAAGATCAGAACTATACTTGACTAGAGTTATCTTTATTAAGTAAGTCTAGAAGCTTGTCTTGCTTGTAGTATTGCTTCTTTATTACTAGAGTTAATCTTAGCTGCTGATTCTTATATTCCAGTAGTTTATTATAAAGAGCAAACTGTTTACTGATTTGAATAATCTGTCCAATACTCTGCAAATTTAGGCTGTGCTAGAGATGTATACTCTTGATCTCTTGTCAGAGCTGGTGCATATTACTAGAAATAGAAGATTTAACTAGTAGTGTAGAGGCTTGAGCAGTTTTAAATTAGTGTAGTTGATGTTAAAAATCCAGAGAATTAATTCCAGTCTTTGTAAAGCTAGTAAGTATATTTTTAACTATTAAAGTCTTCTTTCAAGTTATAGTAAATAGTCTTTAGAAATCTCTTTTTGTTATTCAAGTATAGCTTATTTCTTGATATAGTAGTGCTTCTAGCTTATTGAAATATGTCTTGTCTAGTAATCTAAAAATTTCAATATTAAGAGAATGTAAATAGTGAGTTGAATACAGCAGAAGAATTATAAAAAAAATCTTCTTACAGTCAGTATATTTAATAAATTTCATATTTATATAAGAGAAATATCCATCTAGTAAAAGCAGATGTCTTTCTTAACCAGCTTGTTTCTTAGTATACTGATTGAAAACTTATTTCAACTACTTCAGTTTATATTTATTATTACTTCAACTATTTATTAAAGCTGCAAAGTAGATTTATTTACTTTTATTATAATCATCTAGCTATGTATTCTGAAGATCTTGTGATTCACTCTAATAAATAAGAGCTGGAAATAGTGCAATTTCTTCAGCAGAGACTGAGTAGAGCAATAAGAGAAATTTTTAACTACTATTGGAGCGGGGTATGATGGGATGCCTCATCAAGGTAGACAAGTTGGTTGATATGGTGAGACTACAAGAAAGGTGAAAAATCACCACATAGTAAAGGTATGGTTGAGTAGTAAGTGTAGAGATAGATATGTTCTAACAGATGCCTAAGCTTGCAAGAAGTAATAGTACTAAAGAGCTCTGTACTAACACAGACAGCTCTAATAAAAAACAGTAGTAAGTTTCATAAACAAGAAATCTTCATATTCTCTAACTAATAACTGAACTAGTAGTAAGGAACAAGTGTGTAGAAAAGAGCCATAGTGTGTGAAGATAATAAGCCAGATGCAAAGACTACAGATGGTTTATATAGCTCAAGAATAGTAGTTTTGAGGTGGTTTGCATCTTGAACTGGAACAATCTTTGTTCTAATAAGATACTGAAATCTTCACTACATTTTCTTCTGGTCTTCAATATTGATGTCCCCTGACAACAAACAACATATAAAATAAAATAAAACCAATTTAGTAAAATAAGAGAATAATAAATAGTAATGAGCAGTCTGGTAAGAAAAAACATAGAAAATAAGAATAAGAAGAGTGATAGCAGCAATCTCTAATAGTGATCATCATGATTCTCTTCTTTCATCAAGTTCTCAGAAGGAGAAGAAGGCTGAACTAATACTAGTGGAGCCGGGTATGATGGGATGCCTTGTCAAAGTAGGCAAGTTAGTTGATATGGTGAGAGCACAAGAAAGGTGAAAAATCACCACATAGTAAGGGTATGGTTGAGTAGTAAGTGTAGAGATAGATATGTTCTAACAGACACCTAAGCTTGCAAGGAGTAATAGTACTAAAGAGCCCTGTACTAACACAGACAGCTCTAATGAGAAACAGTAGCAAGTTTCATGAACAAGAAATCTTCATATTCACTAACTAATAACCAAACTGGTAGTAAGGAACAAGTGTGTAGAAAAGAGCCATGGTGCATGAAGGTAATAAGCAAGATGCAGGAGCTACAGGTGGTTTATATAGCTCAAGAATAGTAGCTTTGGGGTGGTTTGTGCCTCAGACCAGAACAATCTTTATCCTAATAAGATACTGGAATCCCCACTACATTTCCTCCTGACCTTCAATGTTGGCGTCCCCTGACAACAAACAACATATAAAATAAAACAAAACCAATTTAGTAAAATAAGAGAATAATAAATAGTAATGAGCAGTCTGGTAAGGAAAAACATAGGAAATAAGAATAAGAAGAGTGATAGCAGCAATCCCTAATAGTGATCACCATGATCCTCTTCTTCCACCAAGTTCTCAGGAGAAGAAGAAGGCTGAACTGACACTGGGTCAATATTGTTGTGCACACAATGCCAGTAGGATTTATTACTAAAAGCTTTCTTTTCAATTTGGTAAGTCTTGACAATGGCATCCAGAGCAATTCGCGTGGCCTTTAGGCACCAGTTATTAATGAAGTCCTGAGCCTTTTTGTCATCAGGGCCAAAGAGAATATCAAGTTCCTCAATTACCATGGGGTTGTCCCACCTAATTTGTTCTACCAGGGCATTCAATATAGCTCCTAAGCCTTGTAATTGAATAGCAGTAGGGAATCAATATGGAACTGATGCAT